CTTCCTTACAGTCTCTAAGACCTGACTCTCTCTCCAGTCCTTCCTTATAGTCTCTAAGACCTGACTCTCTCTCCAGTCCTTCCTTACAGTCCCCTAAGACCTGACTCACTCTCCAGTCCTTCCTTTCAGCTCCCATGGCTCTGATCCTTCCAGCCATACCTACTCAGAGAATCCTGGGTTTGTTTTTTTCCCCTTGGTTGTTTTTTTTTATTTTATTTTTTATTTTTGGGTTTGCTTTCAAGACTGGGTTTCTCTATGTATCCCTGGATGGCTGTCCTGAACTTGCTCTGTAGACCAGGCTGCCTCTGCTGCCCGAGTGCTGGAACTAAAGGTGTGCGTCACCCACATTCGGCAAGAAGTCTACTTTTTGAAGTTGAGCCCCCATCCTTCCTCTACTACTCTACCTTCCTAAGGTCAAGCAGAATATCACTTCTTAGGAGTAGGTATGCTTAGGGCTCATTCCAGCTATGCAGGTCCTGGTCCCCACTCTGGCTTTTTCTCTGTTGTGTCTGTCTGGCCCAGGAAGGTCAAAGTGAGTGTCTCCTGCTCCTGGGCAGGCCCCTGAGAACTGTGGGTGTGTGTATGGGGGGAGGGACACTCACATTGATGGCAGACACTAAGGTCAGGTTGGACAAGTAGAGTCTCAGCCACAGCTCCTGGACAGCCTTCCAGTACTCAGCGTAATGCTCTGGGTTCCGGCCATACATCTCTAGCAAGTCCAGGCCAGCTGAGAAGATACCCGGGCGTTCCTGCAGGAAGAAGCCGGGTGGGGTCACGTTTGGCTGGTAAGACAGTCCTTCCAAGGAGTCCAGAACTGAGAGTGTCAAGGACATAGCCTGGACCTTCCCCTGGACTGACTACTTTCTGGAATGTTTGCCTTTTCCTAGCTTCAAACTAGAACAGGTAACCGTGGGTACAGTTTGGAGACACACACAGGTACCACGCTATCTGACACCAGAGCACACCTGTGCTCAGTTCTGTCATCCCTCGGCTTTAGAGGTACAGGTTCTGATCTAACTCCCAAGGTCAAGCAAGGGCAGAAACAAAGTGCTAGGGCAGAAGAAAGATCTAGAATGACATAGTGACACGTGAGCCCTCAGTTGGATGTTTCAGGTCAGACATAGCTACCAGAGCAGGTGTGGGGAGAACACAGCTGGTGGAAGGGCCAGTGGGCTACAGGAAAGTGGTAAGGACAGAGTCATGCATCAGGGTCAGCACCAAATCCTGGGAAATGGCTCTGGAGCTTCCAGGCAAAAATCCCACCTGCGGATCTCCCCTCTGCATGGCTTCTTAGCCAGGGCTCGCGTTCACAGGTAGGAAATCTGTCAAAGGGC